CCCTAACTCCAAATTTGGGCATAGATGACCTCCTCTGGGCACCCACGTTTCGCGGTGGGCATCTCTCATAGCACTTACCATCTTTTGTGGATTCATTCACTTCGTTTTGGTCTTTTTCTAAGATTCTGAGCTACTGAGTGTACACATGGACACAGAGTAGAAGCCTAATGCGCATTTACTGCATAAAGGAATTTATTTGATACCTTAGTATCAGTGGGGCTGTTTGGAGCCAGGTTAAATCATTCAGTTATTTTTTTCTGTTAACTTTTCTTTTCCTCAGACCTTTCTACTGCCTTCCTGGGCAGTGGTTTTTTCCATGGTCTAGATGCTGCCTCCATGATGGAAACCAGGACTAGGTGATGCAGCAGAATGTTTCAACCCACCCTGGAGCTGCAAAGCGTTGATGAAGATTGATGTGCTCTTTGGACTGATCTGTTAATTGCTTCTCCCAACTCCCAATCATTATCATTATACTTTCCTTTATGAATAATGCATAGAGCTTCCTTTGAGAGCAAGATGGCATCCATCTTGTTCCTCTCTCTATTTACCCCTGAAAACTATGCCTGGCACATAGTAGGTAACGAGCAAATTTTGTTCATTTCCTTCCAGAAAAATCCACCTGTTTTCTGGGAGGCTATAATCTCTCATTGCACCCCACTCTTGCCCTACTATTTGGACATAGAAAGAACTCTTTTTCTTCACCCTGAGGAATACCCATTCTCACAATATCTGAACACGTTCTGTGGTCATGCATGTGTTAGGATTGACCTGTAAACTATTTATTTTTCTTCATCATTTAAAGAAAAGAAGGCTTGGGACCAGCAGTTAGCATAATGGCTATGTCGCTGAACTCTCATGTAGCCAACCGTGGTTTGAGTCCCAGACCCAGTGGCTTAAACTCACACCAGGTACATGTGCGTGCATGACCAAGATGCCAAGAAGAGAATGGAGGAGAAGGGATTGTGGCATGGCCATCCCCCTGGGTGTGTGTGTGTGTGTGTGTGTGTGTGTGTGTTCTTGCTTTCTATCTCTCTGTCTCTGTCTGTCTTTCTGGTGAGCACACATGCCCTATAGAAAAACAAAAACAAAAACAAAAACAAACCTCTCCAATGACAACAACAACAACAAAGAAAATAAGGCTATGTGTAAAAGTTGCAGCTTTTTGAAAGATTGGAGGACATAAAAACATTGAAAATAGTTATGGACACTGGAGACAGTGAGGAACGAGGGTGAGAGATGGGAAGAGTGTAGGGGAGGAAATTGGGGAGAATAAACAGGCAAGACACTTGTGGGACACAGTAATGGTTTATTACTTGTTGACTATAATGCATATAGTATTCTCAACTGGACTGGTCTGGTCTGAGGTGCATTTCATGTGGGGTAAATTCTCTTTGCAAGCCAAATGCGGTATAATAATAATAATGATAATAATAATAATAAATTGCAACATTTCCACTTGGCATATAGCAGGTGATAACTGCATGAGTGTTTGAGACCCGTTGGTGAGCCCAGCTGTGTAAATGACTGCAGAGTATTTAATATTGCCACTGAGAAACGAATGATCCTTTTTCTGGTGAATTAGTATTTGTCATACCATTCATTTCTATTTAATAAATTACCACTATTAAAGACCTAAAGTAGTTTCTTGGAGTTAACAGCAGAGTTAATAGAACTCACTTAAATATGTGGCCTTTTTTCCTTACCTCACAAGGATTGATTAAAAAAATGCTTTCACTTAAAACACTTATCATTTTTGTTAATGATACCATATTTTAAAAAGGTTACTTTTTCAAGTAGTAATTATATCACGCCTGACTATCAGCTCTGCTAGTGCAGCCATCCATGTCCTTGCAGGTTATCTCTGCCCAGCTCCAGGGGGCGCTGTTCCATTAGACTGCATTTGAAATGGGCCTCCTGGAAGAGGGCTGTGCACAACTTGCCAGGTTTAATTAATGCCCTCTCCTCAAAAGGTTAAATTGAGATAATTAGGTGTTCTAAATACAATAACTCAAATTGAAAATGAGAAAAACCAAAACTGTGTCCACTCAAATCTTTTAGAGACATTTTAGGTTAAGAAAAAGAAATCATTACTTTGTATTTTTATATTTTGAAAGGAGTTCATTACCTAAAATTATATGTGTAATAGGAGAAGCTGATATTGAGATATGCACTCTACCATAGCCAGAAGATGAAGTAATTAACATCAACAATTCATATTGCTCTAGGAATTTAATACTGAAAAACTAATTTTCTAGCAGGTTGGAAATGTTTTATAAATTGGTTATTAAAGTGACTCTTGTGGAGACCAGGGTGGAGTGATGGTTAAGGCGCCAGATTCCCACATGGCTGACTATGGTGTGAGTCCTGGACTTGGCAGCTCGAAAATCATGCTGTAGGGGTGTGTGTGTGTGTGTGTGTGTCCAAAATTCCAAGAGGAAAAGGGACTGTGGTGTGACCTTCACCCTCCACACATCCCTCTCTCCACCAGGGGAAGGCGATTTCTCACTTTTCTGTCTTACTCCGGGATCACATGCACCCTATGGCGAAAACAAACAAAACCCAAAAAATGGGTGTTACCTATTAGAGGTAAAAGAAACCCCAGCACGGAAATAAAAAAATGACCCAGTATTTAGTATTGCATAGTATCTAAATCTATGTTTGAATTTGATAGGAAGCAAAATATATCATTTGGTGAAACTGAAGGATTAGTTGCAATAATTAAGGATGGAATGTTCTGAAAATTACAGCAAGCACATGAGAAAGGCAGGACTTTTAAATTACAGGTCTGGATGATATGTGCAACAAAGACCTGCATTGGCCTCTGCAACAACTGGCAGACCAATGTGATCATTATCAGCCGCACTTTAGCCCTCGCACCCCAAAGAGTAACTTAATGACTAGGTTAACAAGGAGCAACAAAAGGGGGGTGCTCACATTTACAAAGGTCTATTCTGCACCAGATACAAAACTTACTGATACATTGAATTTTCATAATCACCCTGGAAGGCAGACAGCCCTTTTTTTTTGTAGATTGCATTTCTGCAAGATTGTAAAATGTTCCTGATTACCTGGTGAGGCCATCCAAACCTTGTGCTATTAATCCTATATTAGGGTGACTCTTAAACACAACATCTTAGATGCACAGACTTTGGAATATTTAGGAAAGAGTAATCGTGACATCTCTGAAGAAAGGACATCACAAGTGGCCAGCCCAGCACAGCTGATCAGACATTGTTTGCTCTGGTTGATAAAGTGAGGCATACAAGCTCCTTTGGAACTCTTTAATAAAAAGACCCTCCTTTCATTTCTTGTGTGCTCAATCCACTCTAAGAAATAATCTACAGTACAGTGTTGTATATAGCAGAACGATCATTCTATAAATGTCAGATACCTAAAACACTCCAAAAGTGTTCATGTGGGAGTGACAAACTTGGTTTAGACAGATATAGTCATGGAGAGGGAAAAGTATCAAAGTTGGACTAGCCCCATGGTCTAGTGGTTAAGAGAGCTGGATCCCACATGGTTAACCATGTGGTTTGAATCCTGGCCTCAGTGGATTTAAAAGCATGTGAGGCCCATGTACATGTGTGCCCCAAATCCTGACAGGATGGAGGAATGAAGGAGAAGGGATTGCAGTGTCATCAAACCCTGTTGGGAAGTGTCTTTTCCCTCTCTTACTCTCTCTCTCTTTCTGGTGAGCACATACACCCTCTGGCAGTTAAAAAAGTCAAACTAAACTTTGATCATACTAACTACTAAATTAACTGGGATACTGTGATACTTTTGCTTCAGATAGAAAAAATTATTTCAATAAAATCATACTTAGTTGCCCATATCTCATACAGAGATGGTAAGAATCTGCATGATAAAGTAAAAAGTAAGGTTAAATTATACAGGCTAAGAATGTCCTGGTATTGATTTTCTTATAGTAAGTAATGATGCTAAATAATAGATAATATACATTAAACATTTACTGAGTATGAAGTGCTGCGATGTATTCTTCAAATATTGTTGCATTTAATCTTTGCAACAAATTTAGGAATTATACATTTTTGTCTACATATTAAAGAGAAGGAGAACCAAGCTTGAAATTAAGAAACTTGCCCAGAGTTACATAATTTAGACAACGTCTAACCTGGACATTGAATCTATGTATGTTTATAAGAGAGGGTGTCCTTAAAATGTTCATGGAAAATGAGTATTATGAAAAACTATGTATGGGTTTTAGATTTTTTTTTTTTTGGTAAAACTAGTACTTTAATTCCATTTTCCCACACACATGTATTATGAAGCTCTCTTGTAACTATAGCCAAGGCCCATAGATATTTGTTTTTCTTATTAAGTTTTCGTTATAGGGTGCATGTGCTTGAGAGAGAAAGTGAGAAATTGCCCTCCCCTACTCCCCTAGGGAATAGACTTTCCTCTTCATTCTCCTTTTAGGATTTTCGGCACACATGCACACACACAACGAATGTGTTTCTCTCTCTCTCTCTCTTTTTTTTTTTTTGTAGAGGTTTTTGCCTTAGAGCATGTGTGCTCGCTGGAAAGACAGAGAGACAGAGACAGTGAGAAAGTGAGAAATCCACTCTCCCTGTGCCCCTGCAGGGGGGATGGCAATGCCACAATCTCTTCTCCTCCATTCTCCCCTCAGAATCTTGGACACATATGCACCTGTGCCTGGCCTGAGTCTGAAGCCACCGGGTCTGGGACTTGAACCATGGTAGGCTATGTGGGAGTCCAGCGATGTAACTGCTACATGTAATCTGCTGGCCATGACCCAGTATGTTTCTTAAGCCTCCAGGTCTGAGACTTGAATTGTGCAGTTAGGCACGTGGGTTCTACTTGCCTTAACCTCCATGGTCCTATAACTACTTTTCTATATTGTTTATGATTAGATACTATCAATATTTTAGATGAAAAGACTTACTTTTAATTTTTAAGTAATTAGTGAATATGATAAGTTTCTTCCTATTATTGTCAATTTTTTGTTGCTGTTCCAGGGAACCAAAGTCCTGCAGATGTTCATGTGGTACCTGAATCCACGGCAAGTCTTTGATCTTTCTCAGGAAGGACCAAAAGATGCGTAAGTCTGCAAACACCCTTCAGAATCCATTTGTATTTTAGGCAAATGAGAAGAACTTTGTGCTTTGGGGTCAAACTCCATCATCTGATTACCCTGTTAAGCATCTTTTGCCCATCTCTCATCTACTTTCTCACCCAAACTCTCCTATTTTTAAAACCGTATCGGATGTTCCTTCTTATTCTTTATTGGGTTGGTGTCTTTAAAGTAAATCTTCTCAGTTATTAACTCGGCGAACACCACTAGTGCGTTTGCGGTTACGTATATGCAAGCAGAGCTGACTCAGTGTGTCTGTGAATTGAGAAGGCCGTGTCATTTCGCTACATGGGCATGTACGAAGTCTGAGGTGCACACTAACGGGAGTTTAAGTGTGTCTGTGTGGAGGGCGGCCATATTTGTTTATGAACATTTGAATTGGAGTGGGGTGTGTGCATATGCGTGTATTTGGAAGAAAGAGATATTGGTTGGTAGATTGATTGATTATACTTAAAGACTTGATACCAGTATGGGGGAAGCATTTTCATTTTTGATCCCTTTTGGGGAATTCTCAGATATTTCATTCTGTTTTTAAGTGTTGATAATAAACTCTAGATAGAGGCGATCCATGACCTTTCCTTTCCATAGAGAGGCACATGAGGAAAAGAGCATGTTGTTTAGTACCTTGTTTTATTTATTAATTTACATAGATTTTTGCTATAGGGCACATGTGCTTGCCAGAGAGACAGAAAGCAAGAAATCACCCTCCCCCTCTCCTGTGGGGGATAGCCACACTGCAGTCTCTTCTGCTTCGTTTTCTCAGGTTTTTGGGCATGCGCACACATGCACCTGGTGTGAATGGTTAAGCAGCTGGGTCCTGGACTCGAACGTGGCTGGCTATGTAGTAGTCCAGTGACGTAATCATTATACCATCTACTGGTCCCCCGGTTCCTTGTTTTAAATCTCTTCACTGACATAGTTTAGATGTTACATGATGAACATTAAAACATAAGGGATACAAATAACTTTCAATAAAGTAGTCAGAATAAGTAATATGAGATGCAAAGCAATTGTCTATCTGAAAAAGTTTCTGGAACTCGGAGTGGGGAGTAAAGGTTTAAAAGACTGACATATTTGTGAAAAGCTGATAAAATATAAAGACTCTTGATTACTAATGAATGATGCTTTCCTTCGAGACAGGAGAGGGGAGAATTATGGGACTAGAAAAAGGGAGGAAGGTACAGCTGGTAGGAAAATAATGTGCTGATACATTAATAGGAATTAAGGAAAATTAAACTATCCTACAACCTACCCCACTCCTGTGTCGGCCATTTATCCTGTGTACTGCCTGTCTCTGATCCAGTCACTGGAGTTGCTTTTCCTGTGGTTACTTGGGAACTAGTTCTGACATATTGTCATCTCAGGATTAGACGTTTTCTCTGAAGGCCATCGCTCCCATACATTTTACAACTGTTTTTTTTTCTGCTGTTATCAGTGTTGTGTTCTTTTGTGTACTTTTCTATTTTTTAAAAAAATTTTTTTTTCTATTTCTCTACAGGCTTGAGTTGTACAGAAAAGTGCCAAATCTGCGAATTCTGGCGTGTGGTGGGGATGGAACGGTAGGTCTTTGAAAGCGAATCCAATCCTCCCCTTCCTTTTGTCTGTATTTTGTTTTTCCTGTGACAGTTCTTCCTCCTTTCCCAATCTTTCCAGCCTCCTAAAATGCATGTCTCGCTCATGTGAATTATAATCTCTAAGACTGGAAGGAACTTTGTTATTATCCTCAAAGATATACCCTCGATCTTTCCAAATATATCTCATTCCCTTAACTATATTATAACCTCGTTGTTCCCAGTAAGGATGTAGTCATGGTATTAAAATGAAGATTATGGATAGCTAAGATGTTTTTTCTTTAATTGCAGAGGGCATTTGCACTTGCCAGAGAGAGAGAGTGGGGAAGAGAGAGGAAGAAAGCACCCGCCAGTAGGGATAGGGCATGGTCATGCTGCAGTCCCTTCTCCTTCATTTCCCCATGCTAATGGGTTTTGGGCCATGCGTGCACATGCCCCAGCAGGATTTCAAGCTACTGTGACTGGGATTAGAATTGTAGTCTTTCATATGGGATCTGGCTCTCATAACCACTCATCTATGGGGTTGGCCCAATAGCTAAATTTTAAAGAATAATTTTATTTATTCATTTATTTATTTTAATTTGACCAAAGACATACACACACACACACACAGGGAGAGAGAGAAATAGAGACAGAGAAAGGGAGAGAAGAAGTTCGAAAGCAAGCCACCAGGTCCAGGACTTGAACCATGGTCAGCCATGTGGGAGTGTCCAGCACCTTAACCACTATGCCACCTGCTGGTCCCTTCCAATAGCTAAATTAAAAAAATAATTGATCTATTCCCATTAGTTTTTAATAATTTGTCACAGTGATTAAAAATATGTCAATGTAATTGAATTATATTGAACCTTTTTTTGCTATTGGAATTAAAACTCAGAATATTGACTAACATTGGTTTGGCATAAAAATCAATCATTAATTGGTCCCATTTGTGTTCATTTTTGAAGAAAAGATGGAATTGTGCTGATGTTTAATATCATGGTTGTATTTCCCCATTTCCCTGCTTATTATCTCTTTTATTTCTTGATTTGCCTTTACTTATATTGACATTTAACAGAGGTAAAGAATGGAGGGCTATGACATTTGGATTATGTTATCTTTTACTTCTGGCTTTAGAGTCTGATCCTGTAAGATCTAGGATTCTATTATGACATATCTTTTGTTTTCCTTTAATCTTCTTAACAAGAGGTCTTTATTCTCAAAGGTAGCATCAAAATCCTCTAATTTTATCTCTCATAGCACGTAAGCACTAAATACAGCATTGGATAGACTTTGTACATTAATAAATGCAAGAAAAATGAATTGGAACAGTGTTTCCGTTAATCACACAAGAGACTCAGTGGAGAGGAAAACCTATTTGAATATTATTTACTATTCTTCAAGATTCATGATACACATTATTACTTTATAGAATTTCATATAATCTCTTACGAATCTATTTATCTTTGTTTAATCAGTGATTTCCAAAATTATTTGGCCATGGAATCAATTACATTTAAATTGATTATGGTGTGCTAGATATATTTAGGGATGAAATATATCTCTAATATATTGGGGATAGATGAGGAATTTTCTCAGCTTTTCTTCAAAAAGAATCATATCGTGACCAATCCTCTGGGAAAAGGTAAGTGTTTTTTTCTAGCCCTATCATCCCCAGACTGGTTATCTTTAATGCCAGGATAATTTTAGCGACTCTTTATTGTAGATATCTTCCTTATTTCAGAAGCTACTTGTCTTTCCATATTACTTCAGCATCCCACTCACATCATTTCTCCTTCTCTAAGTTTCAGTGACAGCAAAAGATAAGTCAAAGGTAACCCCAGTGTCTAAATTCACAGCCTTTCCTCTTTCCTAACTCAAATCCACATTAGCTACCTATTACATCCCCAAGTCTTAGAGGCCACCATTGAATTGGCTGCCCTACCTCCCAAACCTCATCTCTACTGGACCTCCTCTGAGACCTCTCCTTGCCCTTTCTTCCTTCTTTCTTTTTCTTTCCTCTAGTCAGCAGATATGTGAAGGAAGGACTGAGCTAGGTTATGTGGTAATTAGAAATTCTCTGCAATTAGATAATTATTTGAAACTGTAGGATTTCAAAGCATAAAGAGTAAAAGAGGAAGAAAGCCAAGTCAGACACAAGTGCAGTAAATAATTACGGAGTCTAAAAGTCTCCAAGGGAAATGAAAGCAGAAGAATAGAAGGTCGACCAGTAGTTCATCCTGTCCCAGAAACAGACCAAACAAGGAGTTTCGAGAAGGAGACAGGGGAACCAGCAGTTAGCGTAATGGCTATGTCGCTGGATTCCCATGTAGTTGACCGCGGTTCGCGTCCCGGACCCGGTGGCTTAGAACTCACGCTGGGCGCGTGTGCATGCATGCCCAAGATCCCGAGAGGAGAATGGAGGAGAAGGGATTGCGGCATGACCATCCCCCCTGGGGGTGATTTCTCGCTTTCTGTCTCTATGTCTCTCTCTGTCTGTCTGGCGAGTGCACGTGCCCTATAGCAAAAAAACAGAAACCTCTCCAAGAGAAGGAGACAGTAGTTAAATCTTTAAGGAGATACTGAAGGATTATTTTTGAATTTGGAGATAAGGAAGTAATTGGTAATTTTAAAAAGTTTCAGTAAAATGTCCAAGACAGAAACAAAAACAGACAAAAACCTCGAGCAATTATTAAGTGAAGTTTGGTACAATCCTAATGAGCACCCAGTGGTCAGATCTAATTACAGTGCTTAATATTTATGAGCTCTCTGATGCCATTGTCCCCTCCTCCTTAACACATAGACTGCCTGTTTGGGCCAGCAGGTGGCATAGTGGTTGAGGGGCTGGACTCCCACATATTTCACCATGGTTCGAGTCCCATTCCTGGCAGCTTGAAACTCACCCCAGGTGCATGTGTGTGTGTGCCCAAAATCCTGAGAGAAGAGTGAAGGGAAAGAAGTTGCAGATTGGCTATCCCCCTGTGGGGGGTGATTTCTCAGTTTCTCTGTCTCTCTCTGTGTCTCCAGCAAGAACATGTGCCCTATACCAAAAAACAAAAACAAAAACAAAAACAAAACAAAATCCTTTTTTAAAAATACAAGCCAAACTAAACACACACTTTAAATTCCATTTTCCATGAACTTTTTGAAATCCTTTTGTATGTACTCTATCATTAGTGTGTAATTTTATTTTATTTTTTAAAATTTTGCCAGAGGTCATATGATCCACGGCGGAAAAGAGAGAGAGCACCCTGCCATGGTACATAGTCATGCCAGCCACAATCCCTTCTCCCCCATCTCTCCTCTCATTTTGGGACTTAGGGCATGCATGCACACACACCTGGTTTGTTTCTCAAGCTGCAAGGTCCAGGACTTCATCCATGCAGTCAGCCGTGTGGGCTCCTACATGCTAACGACCAGACCATGGACTGGCCCAAATTGATGTATAATTTTGAACTTTTTTTTTTTTTAATCTAAAATAACATCTGTAGCCCAGTTACTTAGAATCAAAACTTTGCTTATCTTATATCTTACGTAAACCAGGTTTTATTCTACCTTGCCTGAACAAAGTGTTTTATGAGACACTTATGGGATTTAGACAATATCCATCATAGTATGTAATTGACTTTTTAGTTTTATTAGTTTAGAATACAAAATTTTGCATTTGGGGTGGAGAAAGATTATACAAAGAAGAGGCGACCTGGTGGATTCAGAAAGAAAAACTACTGACTTTAGGCAAGTAGGGTATGCAGGAGTATCAGGTGTATACTTGGCCTAAGGTGTTCTGTTAGGGAGCATGTCTATTGCTGTCAGGATTCTGTCTGTGCAGTGCAACGCTCAGGGAGGAATCAGGATCAGAATAGTTTTGACTGAGTAGGGTGAGGGTACGTTAACCCTTAACCGTATTAGTTTAAATGTACAACACATTATTTAAGATAACAGACTTCAAAATATTTGCGGAAAAAGAATTAAAGTATTTATTTTGGTGCAAAAAAATTGAAATGTATGCACAGAGTATTTTAGGGTATGTGTTTCCCATGAACTTCCTGAAGACAACCCCTCATATACAGAAATTTTGCATTACTTTGGGGGGAAAAGTTCTTAGGTCCTAAGATAAGTTATTTTAATTGTATGTTATTAAAAAATGTAAGGAGGCAGAGTAATGTATCTCCCCATAATGCACTTGGAGGTGGAGGCAAAAGTGGTGGTCTGCCACTGTGTTCTGCATCCTCTGAGAAGTTCCTTAACTTGTTTTGGATACTCTCTAAATCTGCAAGGAGATACATTTATATCTCTAAGGTTCTTCACAACTGTAGCATTATAGTAGTGTAGACCATTGTTGCTCAAGAGAATTATAATGCAAGTCACATTCGTAAATTTAAATTTTCTAGGGAACCAGCAGTTAGTGTAATGGCTATGTCGCTGGACTCCCACGTAGTCGACCGCGGTTCGTGTCCCGGACCCAGTGGCTTAAAAAACTCACGCCGGGCGCCTGTGCGTGCATGCCCAAAATCCCGAGAGGAGAATGGAGGAAAAGGGATTGCGGCGTGACCATCCCCCCTGGGGGGTGATTTCTCGCTTTCTGTCTCTATGTCTCTCTCTGTCTGTCTGGTGAGCACACACGCCCTACAGTGAAAATCTCTCAAAAAAAAATTTTAAATTTTCTACAAGGCATTTAAAAGTTTAGAAGCACAGATGAAATTAATTTTATTATATATTATATTTCTTATTTCTCCAGAATAATTGTGTAATCTATAAAAATGACTGGTGGGATATCTTATGTTCTATTTCTGTAGTCTCTGAGATCCAGCCTGCATTTTATACTTTCAGCACATCCGGTGTGGATTTGCCACACCCAGGTGCCCGTCTCCACCTGTGGCCCATGGTTGGGCAGCGTAATCTCTTTCTAGATGGTTTGCATAATTTAAAGGCTATCACAAAGCTACAGTAACAGATAGTCTGGTCCCACCTTTGGTCTCTATACCAACTCAAGAATGATTTTAAGTCCT